TGGGAGGGGCCAGCTGCTTGGCTGGTGGGGGGATTCTCCAGGTTTCTTTGCCCACTGTTCTTTGTTGCTCACTTAAGGAGGCTTTCACAAAGGATCCTTCCTTCCCAGGGAGGGGGGAAAGAAAATAAAAATAGATCTTCAGGCAGAGGGCAGGTAGAGTTCAGGCGTTCTTGTTCCCCAGTCACTGTCATAGCAGCTCATGGGGCTTGGCTGCTGTGTGTCTCAAGTCTCGTGACCCAGGCAAGCTTGTGGAACTGGCTCACGTTTTGGGGAGTGAACAAAATTTGCTAAAGAGGAGGGAGGGGATTTTCCATCGAGAGAGGTGGGCGGGGCGGGGGGCGTCCCTGCAAAGTTCCCTTTGTCTGTTAGTTTTGGGCTTTAACCCCAGTGGCAGTTTTTAGTGCCCACCCTTGTCTATTTCCAGGCCATCCACATTTTCATTTTCCTCCATTTACTCAACAGAGAAAGTCAGAGGCAGCCAAATTAGCTGGCTTTTCAACTAGTGGGTGACAGGCACTTCTGAAAAAAACGCTTGTTCCTATGTGCACGGGCATATGCGGGGACTTGGCCCCAGGGTGGGGGTGGTAGTAAACACCATTCTGCTGCCTTCAACCCAGTGCTCCCCAGAGAAGGTTCGGGGCCTCCTAATCAGCTTGGATGTGATGCAGGAGGAGTTCACCACGGGACCCCGGTTTCTGAGGCCGTGTGATGCTTTTATAGAGAACTCCAAGTAGAAGAGAGATTTTATGACTGGCACATTAATTGAAAGCTCAGTGCTTATCGCAACTTTGTGGGCTTTCTGAGTGAAAGCGTCTAGTATCCATTTTACCATCACCAGTTCCTTGGTGGCAGTTTTGCCCATGGCACTGGCTGAGGTCAGTCCTCCACCAACTGACTGAGGTTGGTCCAGTTCCCAGTCCAGCTCTGACCCTGGCAGGATCCCAGAAGGAATTTCAGCCCTACCAGCAGGTAGAGGCAGGGACAAGTCATGTGGCCACAGACCCAGTGTCCAGGGCAGCCTCTCCACCAGTTGTCCGGACTCCTGCCCAGTGTTACCCTATGACGAGTGCTTTATCTGCATGATTTCCCCATGAAGATGAGCACAGTGAGGCTCATCTTTATCTTACATCTTGTCTGTAAGTTAACTTACAGGCAAGAATAAAACCTGATCTTAAACTTAAAACTTCTCACCCCTCTGCTCTCTTGCTCCCCTGGTTGAGCACCGACTCTCTTCCTGGTTCTTGACATCTTTCTAACTCCATGGCCTGCCTGGAGTCTTGTGCTTAGTATATGTCTTGCCCAGAACCCTGGCACTGGCTCTGGTCTGAGCTGAGCTGATTAGTGCAACTGGCCAGACCCCCTGCTGGACTGAGCCCCTGTGGGTCCTGATCCTGGGCCCACATCAGACCCACTTTCACCACTTCTCGGGCGTAGGATCTTGGGCTGCTTCCAGGCGCTGCCTTCCTGGTCCCACATCCCCCGCTCCCCCACACCAGTCCCTCCTGCTGAGGTTGCCCCAGCATGGCTGCTGCTGCTGGACTTATCTTAGGGCCTGGGGTTGTAGGACACAGAACAGTTTGGGGTTTGGGGGTAAGGAAGCCTCGCTCCCAGCCCCACCAGGCACTGGCTGTGTGAGTCACATCACCTTCCTGAGCTTATTTCCTCATCTGTGAAGGGGATGACAGTAAGTTCTGAAGTTGTGACTACTGTGCCAGTGAGCCATCCTGCCACACCGTCAGGCCCACTCCGCAGCCCACATAGGCAGAGCTGCACCAGGGCTCACAGCCTTTGTGGCAGGGTGACTCAAGGGCACAGTGTACACCCTCTGCTCCCATCCACTTGGGAGGTGTGAAGGCAGCATCAGCCTGACAGGATGACCTCGACTTCAGGCTGTAGTGGACTTGACTCCAAAGAGCAGCAATGAAGACGGCCATGCTTTCCGCCCCCCTAAGACTCCAGCCAGCTGACCCACTGGCCCAGTGTACTCCACTGAAACGTGCCCCTGATGGGAAATTAAAGCGAACTCTAGACGTACAGCATGGGGTTGAGAAGTAGACAGTCATAGGCTTCAGGTGCCCGGACCAAGGTTGGAATTCTGGTTCTACCACCTCTTAGCTGGGTCACTTTGGCCCAGTCTTGCTAATGCTTTCTCATTTCTAAAATGAGGAACCTCTTAGGCCTGTTGTAAGGATTAAATGAGCCCCGATATTGTATACACAGTACCTGGCATGAAGCAGATCCTCAACAAATGTGTTTTCCTCCCACTTTTTGCTGCTGCCTGGACAGTCTATTGCAATGCCCAAGTCCTTCCCTATGGCAGGTTGTACCCTGCACCCAGCATTTAGTACTCACCTCTTTCCTGATCCCCAGCCCAATGCCTGTCTGGGCTGGCACCTCCAAGTCTGATGCCTGATCTTGGATGCCCAGGCCCTTGCCTGGGTCCTGCCCAGATACACCTGATCTAGGACAGAGTGCATGGGGCAGAAAGCTGGAAATCCGAGACCCCAGACCAAGCTCTGCCCCTAACCTTGACCTCTGGGCAAGCCACTTCACTTTTTCCCTAAGCCTCAGCTGGAAACATGGACACCCAACGCCTACCCTACCTTTATCATGAACATGTGGCCAGGTACACAGATACCCTCGTGTCCCGTAATGGTTCCTAGAGTCTGCCCTCTGGAGCCACACTGCCTAGGTTTGAATCCTCACCACTTCTAGCTGCATGACCATGGGCAAGTTCAACCTGCCTCTGTTTTCTCATCTGACAATGGGGGCAATTGTAGAACTGGTCTCGGATCTGGTTGCATACTTTAAATGGTATAGTGGGGATGCATATAAAACATTTAGAATTGAGCCTGGTGTGTAATGAGTGCTTATCACCAGCTCTTAGGAGGCTATAAGTTCAGACCCCACTTGGAAAACCACTGTGCTAGACCACCAAAGACCGATGAGGGCTTGTCAGCTCACA